ATAACAAATATGAATTGCTCTTCAATTTGGCGGCAGATTTTGGGTTAGGCAGAGGATTAACGGGTCGGACTCAGTTTAACAAAACCAAAACTTCGATTTAGACGAAATAGGGTAGCGTAGGATTGCACGAGGAGCGGCTCGAGTTTTAAGGTAGGGAAGGCTGGGATGTGAAGTAGATGTAGGAAACCGCTTCATGTTATCATGAAAAGGCTCGAAGCTTGGAGTTAACCATAACAAGAATTGACGGTCAGACGGGGAAAATCAATTTTCTGCTATTTTATTTCTATCACAAGCAGTTTAATATTCAAATAATACATGAAACAGCCATTAAAAAAAGTAATTAAAATTATCAAGTAGAAATTTATACCTTTCTGTGTGTTCTTCTCGTCTTTTGTACACATTTGATCATCATCTATTAATCTTATTCAAAATCCTAAAACCTAAAAATAAGATTAAAGCAATATAATGAGTTATTTAAAGATAACATAAGAGTGATCACACTGCTAAACTACAGTATTTGCAAGAAAAAAGTACAATATGTATGTTGGTCTATCATATTTTTATAATAAATCTTATATATGTTAATGCATGTATTAATATTTTTTTTTAAAATAAACATACACTAATCTTCTATATACATTTATCTTAAATTTACTTTTATTTTATACTATTTACATACATTTATGTTTCTATGAGAATCACTATCAACAAAATCTTACACGCCTTTGGCCGATATTATCTCTTCGGCGCAGTGGTTAATAATATAAACATCAAAATTATTTGTGGAGATAAGATCCGGTCTACTCGCCCCTGGTGAATATTATCTCGTCAGCACGACGGCTAAAAATATAAACATCATAATTATTTGTGGAGATAAGATCTGGTATACTCGCCCCTGGTGAATATTATTATGTCGGCACATCGGTTAAATGATCTCACCATCACAATTGTCTGCAGTGGTAGTAAACTCTAAGTGTACAGGTATACTAACGCCCATTGCCAATACCATCAGAGGGTGAAATCCTCATTTGAACATGCACATATAAGCATTCATATGTAAGCTATTTTATTCATTATAGCATAAATTATTCTGACATATCTTTATGCATTTAATAACATGCATATGTACTCTTACTATGTCGTGCAACTATTCATCATGCATAACTCTAATATTATGAATATCTCTTGGCTCATGCATATCTTTTATAACATGCATATATTTTCTATCATGTTTATTATGTTTATCTTGCATATTATGTCTATTATATATACCATGTATCTCACGCATATCTTGTTTATTTTTTTGTCATGCATATTTGTTCTAATTTAATAATATGAAGAACTTGTTGTAATATAAATATAACTAAACTAAAACATACATATAAATCAACATACATTCTGAAATAAAAAAAATTAATAAAATTTAGAAATAAATTTACTCACCTCATATGCAACAGTAAGTTCTCAAACTTCAGTAATTAGTTGGATGTTGGATATCCTTTAAAAATTGATCTTAACAGCCGATTTTAACAACCTATGAAACATAATATCAAAAGCAATTTTTGTTAATTGAATTATTTTACTTGATTAACATAGAATTAAATTACCTAAATTGACGAATTCACTCTACGATGAGTTTTCCACATACTCGCCTTGAGCTCGATGCCTCAGGTAAACAATCTAAAATCCGCAATTAACTTCGAATTTAAAGACATCTTGGCTCGTTAAGTAATTAAACCAGAAATATAATTGATTAGCCTAAATAGACCTCAACCGATTCCAACCCTTCTCCGAAATTGCCAAAACTCCCCTCCCTCTACTTCTTATCTTAGCTCCTCTTCCCAACCTTGTTGATTTCATACTAGAAGCCAATTTGGAAACCCACAAACCAACTTTGTCGCTCTCAACACAATTTCGTCTATGTTACATCGACTGGAGATGAAAAAGATGCACAATTTGTGGTAAATCTCAAAATGAGAGTGCAAGAAAGGAAATAAATGTCTCAAATAACATGAAATATGGATTATGTCTTACCGATTTCATCCCAGAGCTCGAAAACCTAGCCGGCGGTACACTGTTTTGCGTCTACACACGATCTTGACTCCAGCACTGTAGATGGAGTGGCGAGCTCCCTCGACAGAGAGGAATGATGCGAGGGAGGAGGGGAAACGAGAGGATCAAGAGAGGAAGGGGGGAGTGAGACGCAGCTTACTGCAGCTTGTGCGGCTTCCCAGGTGCCGCTCAGCTCACCAGCTACAACGCAGCATCACGATTCTTCTCGCAGAATGAGATGCTTGTGAGATTGAACAAGGAGGGGAATTGGAAGGGGGAAGCTTTGGAATAAGGATCCCCGCCCTTCGACTGAGACTCCTAGGCTTAATATCGCGTTAGACGGTGGCTACAATAAGATTACGGGATTAAGGATAATTAAGAGTTTAATTAAATTAATTAAACTTATTACTTCTAATTTTTATATCTTTCAATTTATTAAAACTTATTAAAAGTGTTTTATATCAAATGGATCAATTTGACACGTGGAATTTTATAAAACTAACTCGGTTGAAATCTGATTTGTTCGAAAATTGAGGTACATTTTAAGTCACAAAAAATTATATGTAATTTCTCAAAATGGGTTATTACACGTAATTTACAGGAGAGACACAGTAGATTAGGCGATCGCGGCAAGGAGACACGATGGGGTGACACAACAAGGATCGCGTGCAGCTAGGCAAAAGGAAATTGGGCGAGTGGAGGCATTTCAGAGAAGGGATTTTGTTTGAGAGGCGCATCAGGGAGGAAAAACAATGCTGAGGCTTTAGGACAGGGGACTAAGTGTGAAGGAAGGCTTCAATCACGTGAACAGGAGGAACAATAACAATAATTTGCGCGGCCTCGGTAAGGAAGAAGGAAGATTGCCGGGAGAATCAAAAGGAGATAGAGACATAGGGAGCATTTTGAGCATGTAGAGAGGATCGCACACGACAGACACAGAGAAGATTGATTATGATACAGGGAAAAAGCAAGGAATGCGGCGACACTATACAAAGAACACAGTGATCGGTTTGACTGGGACGGAGAAGAAGGAGCGACGGCTTTAAGGCAGAGTGGGCAAATGTTTCTGAGAGAGAAGAATGCAAGATCGATCGAAGTAAACCAAATTTGGGATTTCAATGTCAAGTGATTACAGGTAGAGACGAAGAAATTTTTGTGTGTGATTCCAAGTAGGAAAATCAAGGAAGAGAAGAAGCGTGACTCGATTCACTTCTGCGGTTGGAAGAGGTGAACAACGTAGTCGAACAACAAACAACAGAAGAAAGAAAAGGAAATGGGGTGTGATTTCTTCAATGTAAGTGGGGATGTTGTGTGAAATAGAGAAGAAAATAGCCAATAAGAGCAAGCAACTTATGAATTCTTTTTTTTGTTGTTGTTGTGCGGATTTTGAACAAGAGAACAGTAGCGACAAATAGGGCAAGAACAATTAGAACAAAAATGCTTTTTGAACGAAGGGGGAAGGAATGGAACCAAAAACCGTGCGAATGAGGATGGGGGAGGTTTAGTTCGTGCTTGTAACTGAGAAAGGACGGGAACAGTTATTTCCTTCAAGCGGGTGACTTTGGCAGGAGAGAGAAGTAATTATTTAATTTTTTAATGAATTTAATTTTTATTTTCTGTATTTCACTTTCAGCAGTAAATGCCCGTAAAAAAATATCATTAAGCTTGGGATGTCATGATTCAGAGCGAAGACAGCCGCCACGGAATGCTCAGTAAGCTGTAGAGCAGATACCACACTGAAAATCTAACAGATTTCTGATTTGCAAAACCCAGCTCTTGCTTGAGGATACATTGATAAATAAATAAATAAGAACTTCCTAAGAGAAGAAGCAACACATAAAGAGCATCAGACCTTGAGGGCAAACAAATGATATTACTTTAAGAAGAGCTGTTGGACGTCCCGCATTTCAAATTGAGCTACTTGTAAATTGCATGTCACATCTGACTATATACATTCCACATATTATGCTTCTGATTAAACGGGGCAAATTACCATTACTGATCTCTTCCAAACAATGATTATCCTATAGCATTGAAACCCAAGAGAATGCTAGGTTGAGATGAGTACCAAGGTAAAGAGGATCTTAGAGATAGGAAGTAAAACTGCCGTGTGCATCATTAAAAGAGTAAAACTGAGCCTTTTCTCAGCACCTGGAAGTCACTGTTCATAATTTAGTTGTGGAGAACAAGATTTGACATAAAATTATGTAAGAAATAGTCCTAAAAGCCATCAACATTACATGCTTATAGGTTTAAAGACTGGTGGAATATAACAGAAGACACTAAGCAATTTATACCGTTTCATTCAATATGTCGACTATGAAACTCGCACATGACCATAAGATATAATATGCATGAAAAGCAAAACCAGCATTATCAAAGCGCACAGCACAACGCAATGCACAAGGCTTTATTTGCTTCAAAGCACAAAGCGCAAAACAAAGCGGCGCTTTGATTAACCAAAACACTAATAAGTTATATAAAACTATTAATGTATAAATTCAATCATCAACAATTAAAAAAAATAAAATATGATGTAAAAGTTGATATAAAATAAAAATGAATGTGGCACAATACATAACTTGAAGCAAACATGGAGGCAGAACCTACAAATTTAAATTTCGAACAAGTTCTAATAGTTGTTGCAATAGTTAAAAACTTAAAAATTACTAAAAAAGACCTGTAAATTAAGTTCAGCGAAGCAGGCGTCATTGGCTTCGCTTTGCTTTGCTCGTGAAGTGCGCTTCGAAGCGCACTTTTAAAAACATTGAGCTAAACTACTAACACTACACACATTAGTGAAGCACATAATATGCTCCATATGATGTTTCCAAATATAAAAGGAACTAAATTTACTGTGAAAATTATTTGAGGAAGTGGGTGGGTAGGCGAGTGTTGAGATATAAATTTCATACAAGGGAAAAAAAGGATTTGTAAAGACGGCTTACCTAATAAACTCGTATCAAGCTCTCGTATCAATGCATAGGTTCGCTGGAGCATGGCAGGCAAAGATTCCAGACCTGAAGGAAAACTGTTAGCCATACTAACACTGTGCTTAAAAGAAAAAAAAAAAGAAGCTCCAAGCCAACTGATGCTAGAAATCAGCCATGCATCAAGCCATTTACAAAAATATATCACAACACAGCTCATATGGCTCCAGGGATAGTATATTAACGGGAGCATTTACATACCTACCAGCCAATTCCTATGTATTTACATATTTAACACCTAAACTCTAATTTTTACATTTAGACCACCCAATTCATTCATATCACATAAAACATACCACTATCTTAACTTTTAAAATGTGAAATACACTTTTTTATGCATAGCTAAGATGGCACATATGCAAAAATTGAAGTTTATGTGTCAGATATGTAAATACATAAGAATTAAGTCGTATGTAAGTAAATCTTCCTATATTAAATAATAGGAACACAATTTTTGTTAGGTAAATTAGTTTTCTAGTTACCTTGTCCCAATTTACATCAATTTGAAAGAAAGCTACTTGATCATAAGCACTTGATAATGGTGCCGAGGTCTGGTAAGTCATTGAGCATACTGGTCGCTAATTATTTTCAAAGCTTAATACGTACATAGTCATGATCAAGTAATCTGGACTAAGATATTCTTTCATTAATTATTTAATTTATTTTTAGTAATTATAAGACGGTTTTATAACAATTATTTTCATGGTAAGGGCTCTATAACTCAGTGTACTTGCAAACTATCCTTTAAAATAGCCTCACCCAGATTGGTTTAAGAGACTTCTGATTAGTTATTTTTCCACTTATATTCCTGAGAATTTTTTTACTCAGCCGCCTTCTTTAGCATGGCATTCTGTCTCCTAAGCCTGCTCAGAAGTGCGTACCTTCTCTCTATGTAAATTCCTCTCACATTTTAAAACGGGTTTCCTTCGTCTTATGCATTTCATTGAGATTAAGGTATTTTATGGCATGATATTCTTGAGATATTGCTTCACATTCTCTTTCGTGATCTTATTGACCACCCCTATCTTCCAGTTTATTCAAGGAAAAACTGCACTAACCTCCACCCCTCTCCACTCGTCCACAATGACGCAGAGCTGAGCTTATCCCCATTTATTGGTTTCCTCGGACCGCTATAAGAGCTTAAATACCTGTCTATTGATTTTCAGTTTGTTTTTTTACAACAATAATTAATGCAAGCCGTGAGTATAAACAGTACAAAAAAAAATGTAGCTTTGGTTGGTAATTCTAAAACAAAACAGGAGTTTCACCCTGTTTTTCCTGGGCCATTTCCTGTATCTTTGGATAAGTTTGGTTCAGGTGATTGATTGAGTTGCGGAAACTCTCTGGTTTTGCCATCTCATTAGTTGGTTTGATGCAGTGTCACACAGCCGATCTAACCAACATCTCCTCTAAAAAGCATTAAATTGTAAACCAAAACCACATCCCCGCAAAAAAAGCATCACCAATTTCAACTTAACACCAAAACACAACTACAGGTGATCAAAAACCACCCTCCACTTATTTAAACCAGCAGTTTTTAGCTACCCTAACTCATATTCAATCTCACAATTGCCTACATAACCATAAGTACCACCACCCTCCTAATAAGTTCGCCGGAACTCTTCTTTATAAATGCCCATCGTATGTGTAATTTCCATAAATTATCCAGAAACAATCAGTTAAAACTCAACCCTACATATTGTCGCCTTGCTTTCATGTTATCTTTTTCAGCTCAACTAAGCCGAGTTGATTATTGACTAAAATCTCCATAATATTCTCTTATTACATAGTTTAAACTCACTTCAATTTCCTAACTACAAATTATTTCAAATCTAGTCCTATGTATGTGCAGCATATTTGGCCTAGTACTTGGGTGCTTTGTCTCCTACTAGAAAATCTTGAGTTGGCCAAGCAAATACGAATATTTATATGGGTTTAAAAAAAATCTAGTCCTATTTATTATTGCAATTTATAAATATCATATAATGAAGTAGCACACTTTTAATAATTGTTAGAATCATTTTCATCATCAATATAATAGAATCTAAGAAGTTATGGGACTAAAACTAGCATATGCCAATACCAAAGTAACAAAATGGCATACCAATCCACAATGTCAACCTTCTCATAAAACAAAGCAAGGCAACAGTCTTGTAGTGTTGCCCTGATACCATAACATCAAGCTAACGGTATTGCTTTTAATGGAGCAGGGCAAACTTGCTCTTCTCTGAATCAGTGTAGTGGCCGTGGCTCAACTAAGATGGTAAGCAAAGAAATAAATGTGGGCAACATTTTTGGGCTTGAGATCATAATTTAACGAATGATATTTGGGTTTCACACGCTAAAATGAGTCACAAGAAAATTATAATATCTACAATGGCTTTAAAAAGTTATTTTTTCCTCACAATAGTTTTTTGTAGAAAATAAATAATAGAGAAAAAGAAAATAAAACAATGGAGGAAAATCTCTCAAGACTTTTTATAGTTTTTTCTTTGAACAAGAGGGGAGGTATATATACATTTTCAAGAGGCATTACCAAAATTGGGGGGAAAATATAAGGTGGCCGATAAGCCTATAAGGAAGCACATGAATCGCAATCCAATGGCCATAAGGAAATTGATCCGACAATACAAGGTCTTGACCGCGTGCTTTAAGTTTTATATTATGATTGGAGAGTGTGTGGGCCCTATTGTAGCACACATTACTATAGCATGTTACTATGTGTGATACGGTAGCATAATATTATAGTAGTAATCCAACATACTCTCAAACTAAAATGTAGATATCTACCATTCCAAATTTGCCAAAAAAAATTTAAACGTTTGGTTGCGGTCTTTTGGTGAATATGTGGCCAACTAATTCCCTATAAACAAATGTTTCTTAATATGAAGAGTCTATCAACTTCAACATGCTTTTATAAAGTGGCTATTAACCTCAAAATGCTTGGTACAATCATGTTGTTCTGGATTGTGTGCAATATTAATGACCGATTTATTATAAAAATATTTTTTAAAAGCTTTTTCCACTTAATTTGTAAATCTTCTAATATGATTTGGTTCCATAGAAGCTCACAGATTCCTTTTGAGTAATGGTACTGAACTCAGCTTCAACACTTACTCATGAAACCTCATGTCATTTCTCTATTCTCCAAGTTATGAGACTTTCTCCTAGAAATATGGATAACCTTTAAGTGGATTTTGTATCCATCGATATTGCAACATGGTTCGCATCTATAAATATTTTAATTCTTAAAGTATTATACTATTTTGTATAGAATTCATTTTCCTAAATTTGATTTAAGGTATCTGAGAATGGAATAGGCGGCTTGAATATGTGATTATTTAGATTTGTGCATGAATTGACCGACTAGCTTTAATGTGAATGTGATGTCAAAATAAGTGATGGATTAGTTTTTTCTACTAATCTTTGATATCATCTTGTATGGACATCAATTCATTATTTATCAAAATCTAATTTTTATCTTGGTTTAGTTGGAGTTTCACACAACTTGCATTACATCATCATGATTTTTTTCAACATATCCATAACATATTTCTGTTGAGTTAGCATTGTCCATTAAATTAAGTCACATTTATTCCAAAAAATTATGCAAGTTTTTTAGCTCTTTAATTTTGAACTATTCAACAAATCTTTTCTTAATAACTTCTTTCTCTTGATTGTCATGCACTATAACAATTGTATCGTCAATGTATGCAATCAAAGTGAATATTTTATCATTAGTAAAATATTTTATGAAAAGAATATAATCTCTTTAGCTTTATTTGTATTTAGCTCCTTCCATAAATCTTGTAAATCTATAAAATTGGCTCTTGATGATTATTTTTGTCCATATAAGGTCTTTTTCAATATGCATACCTATATTTTTTAGGAAAGCACTTTTTATATTATATCATTGTACAGCTCACGCAAAATTTGTTGCTAATGATTTTAGAATATGAATAATATTCATTTTTGTAATACAAATGTTTTCTGATAATCAATACCATATAATTGAATATAACGTTTTACCTATGATTTGTATTTAATCATGAAAATTCATTTGCATCATACGAAATTCTTATCATCGGGTAATTCAATGATCTCCCATAAATGATTTTTTCAAGGCATTCATCTCTTCTTTCATAGCCTCGTTCCAATTTTTTTTCTTTTAAGTGCCTGAAATTGTTTTTGGAATTTTAAATTGGGTTGGTGTTGATGTTTTTAGAAACACTTTATGAGCGAGAGAAATTTATAGAAAGAGGTGTACTAGAAGATAAGGAGTAAGACGGGGTTGATGATCATATAGGGAAGCACAAAGATTGTGATCCAAGGGTCAAAGAAATTAATCCAATGGCAGAAGGCATTGATCTTTGTGTTTTAAGTTTTTCACTATTATTGGAGAGTAAATGGGCCCTACCATAGCATGTTACGATAGCACAATACTCTAGCATGGTACTATAAAAGTAATTCATTTTTACAACTACTTTTACAAACAACCATAGGCGCCTCAAAAATGCCATGATATGATAAGTGCTTTCTACAACATCTTCCATGCTTTAAAACACAAATTAAGAAAAAACTTCTTAAAACTACTTTTATAATAGAGAATTAAACACACAAAAGCGTTTCTGCCCGCACTCATAATCAACCAAATCAAGTTTATCTCCAACCATTAATGTTAAATAAACAAAGAGTATCATTCCTAAGCAGAAGTTTACATGATTGATAATCGAGTTGATTGTTCTCCTCAACAAAATACTTTGAATTGGTTTTCCTAATTGCTGAAATGCGAGCCTAAAGAAACTCTCATGAAATGACCCTCGACAGCCACTTGGGAAATGATTGCAACAGTTACGCCTCAAGATAAAATTGAAAAGAAAGTTGGATAAGCTGCAAAGATAAACTTTTCAAACAGATTTGACTCTAGCACCATAAAATGATCACAAATCATATTCTTCTTCATGAAATAAAGGCAATTGGTTTCATAAAATCTAAATTATGATCACAAATATACCCTCCCATCCTTAAATTAAAATATCCTGTATTTTTATTGAATAGATACAAGTTGAAATTCAATCTCTTAAATTCTCCTTCTCTTTTGAATGAAAATTAAAAAAAAAAAAATGCATGGAAAACATATCGCTTCTGTGTAAAAATAAATAACATAACAGTCAATCTTCAAACCCAAAGCTTGCTTTACAAATGCAAAGCTTGAAATCCATGCAAATTGCTGCTCAAAATGTACGAATTGTTCACACAAGATATCCAAGTTCTTACAAATGTTGTTATATGCATTCGGATGGCACTTGCAAAGAAGCTCAAAAAGCCAAACTTAATCTTAATATGAAAACATATTCTTTAATTAAATTGTCTCCATCTATTTATGAAAAAAAAAAATTTCTAATGTAAAATCTTAATTAACAACATAAAGAGTGAACATCGCCCCGTTCAAACTGACTCCAACTCTAAGATTTAATGAAAAACAACAAGTCAACTCATCCAAAATTGAACCTTAAGCTCAAACATATAACTTCGATCCCCTCCTATCGAGAATTCATATTTTTTATAAAAAAATACATATTTAGCCCACTGCAGATCACGTAATCTCATGAACACATGCCAAACATAAACAAAAATCATATTACGCCAAAACCCATGCAAGGAAATCCAGTGCAAAATCCCAAAAATATAAAAAGAAAAAGAAAACTATCATTCAGTAAAACATAGGAGTGCAAAAACAAAAAGAGCCATAGCAGGTTTCTTACTGGCTTGATAATCCTCAAGGAAGCCCATTAGCCTCTATTTTATCACCTCCAACCCTAGAGTTTTGCAAGTTCTAGACAGGGTAAAGTAGGAGCTTGATTGTTCCTCCCCACGTTCAAAAAAAGCCTTACACCCTCGAGAAGCTTAATCTCAACCCTACCACATTATTTGAGAGTCAATATCAAGTAAAGCAGCTTTGTACTATAAAACAAGAAAAATCACCATGTGTAATAATATAATAATATAATAATAAGAGATTTGAAATATTAAATATTCAACAAAGAGAAAAGAACATGCAGAGAAATGCATTGAAATAAGCACCAAATACAAATAAGTGTATAAAGAAACAACTAAAAGACATAATTAATACCATTTCAAGATGTGATCTGAAGCCAACAATATTTCTCCAGTAAAAAATGGTCCACAAATCAAAAGACAGATCTACATTAATATCAAGGGGTATGCTTGTATGGCAACTCTAGCTTGCTAAGGCACAAGCATGTAAAATGATAAAGAAATATAACACAAATGTCAACGGACTACTTAAAATTGCTAAAACAGAAAAAATCATTTTGTTATTGCTAAGCATTTGACCGATACTGAAATAAACTAAATATAACAAAGATAACTTGCAATCAAGTTCATAATTCAAAAAAACAATGAGCATCAATTCCATAATCATATATAGACTACCAATATTACTACTAGAAAAGGTCGTTTGTGATTATACACAAAGAAAATCTAAACCTTTAATTTTGATAATAAAACTAAAGTATGTGGTTATCACACACAGTGGATATCGGGTTCTACCGCATTAACACAGCACAGAAAAGCTCATCTTCTTATTATCATGATGAATTAAGACCATTCATAATATTCAGCTATGATTAACGGCGAGGAGAGGTTATTACTGTAAGGATTTGATTTGAACCATGAGTTGAAAGATTATCTAGATCTCTAATAACAACATTTTGTTGTTACAGTGGAGAGGTCAAGCTAGCACCTACTACTGTTATTGTCTTCATAAATTATTCACTTCAGCATAAAGTGAATCCAAATAGCATATTCTAGAAGTAAGACTAGAGCACACAATAGCATACTCTTAATCACTTCGTCTGGGGCAAACAAAAGTATAACAAAAAGCAATGAGTTCCTACATGTAGAGTTCAAAAACACATTTATCATACTTACCAATAAATGAAAATCGATCAAATGGTCCATGTTACTTCCAATTATGCAACAAATGACAAAATTTCTAAAGTGAATAATCAAATGAATGTTACTAAAGGTTCAAATCTTTCAGCATATAGTTCATAACTTTATGTATGTACTTTACTGAAATCTATACCCCCAATTTTTCACACCTTTAAGCAATAAGAAAAATTAGAAAATATTAAAATATGCATTAAATCAGATAAATTTGGGCAAATAAAAAAATAATTATTTAAGAAAATTTAATGCTTATTTCAATATCTTTCAATAGCTTTGTTGCTTATTTCAATAAAAATATGCATTGAATAAAAAAAAAGTAGAAGAAAACAATGAACAATTAGACGTATCAGCACAACAGACAATCAAAAGGTGATCCTATTTGAGAATGGAAGTAAATGTATCATAAAGATTTACTACAAGTTTATAAAATTCAATGATCTTCATTCAGAAAAGCTATAGAAAAGCATTGATTGTTAAAAACAGTAATAATATCTCTGACTGTTTAAATAATACATTATTATTGAAATATCATCTAAGTTTAGACAATTATTTGCTAATTTCTTATTTATTGCGAGCATACAGATGTCAGTCAGTTACGAGATAATAATTTTAATAATTTATCTCAAGATTTCAGAAAAACGCTTATTCAGTATGAATAATTATATATCAAAAAATTATAATCTCGTATTAATTTATTTACTCAAAAATGAGAATTCATAAGAGAATTAGACCTTCCAAAAATGCTTCAAAATCAACAGGATTTGGTACATACTAAAGATGACGTTGAAAAAATTAAATAACTAAGGAATTATATGCTGTTTCTCTTATTGGAGATATCAACGCAGAAATACCAAATACACATACTATTATCAATTAAAACTGAATGGATATAGCATCAACAACAACTACATCAGTAGTATCAGCTTAAATCATGTGTAAAAGACAAACAACACATTCGAGATTCAAATTATCAATACATATAATGGGAACAAGCATGTGTGCAATTACCGAGCAAAGTTATTTTTTAAACCAATAATAAAAATAAATCTTATAATTGGGATGAAACACCAAAATCAAATAAAAAAAACCTTTAGACAGAACTCTGAATAAATTATAAACTTCAATAATTTTGACGGAAAAGTAATTATATTCAGAAGGGACTTTCAATAAGTATTCATGGTAGAACAAATTGTAACAAGAATAAAAACTATCAACAGCGGTAGTTTTCTATCATATTTATAGCGTAAAATGAATTTTTTTAAGAAAACTATGAGAGTAAAATCAGATCAATTATTTTAAAAATTTGTATTTAAAATTGAAGTTTAAAATGAGCCAAAAATAAAAAATGAATCAGCAATTATTCCGAAAGAGATGATAATTAAGTATGAAAAAGATAATTCTTTATAAACTTTCTTAATGAATGAAACATTCTCTTATCAACATCATGACATTTTCTCTTTTTAAGATATTCCATAAAATTTTTTCCTACAACGACAATGAGTTTGTTGATAATTTCACTCAAAATCAGATAAATTGTTTCTATAAGTTAACGAGACATTCTATAATTTTGATAATAGTATCAAAAACAATTTTAATAATTATCAAAAAAAAAATTCTCAAATCACCGGAACCAAATGGCTTCTCCTCAAAACTTGTTTTAGAAAAAAAACGTCTAATTATGTTATTAAGGAATTTAAATTTTCAAAAGATTTACGTATTAAAGTAAAACAATTTGTAAAAAAATTAAAATTAATATATTCCTTGCAGAAATATCCCTCGATCCATCTCCATGAAAAACCATCTTGATACCTAAAAGGCTAAAATACCACCAGGTCCAAGCAATGATGTACCTTCCATTCAAACTTAAGAGAATTGCGCCTAAGTTTGAAACAGCTTTTAGTTTTAGCTATAAATGGATCTAAATATTAAATAGATTAATTAATGATACAAGAATTGAAGTTTACTTAATTTGCATTTTAATCGTGTGCTTACTGATTTTTTAAATCTCAATAATAGTTACATGATGCACTTGCAATTAAAACAGAATACATAATAACCAAGGAATGTCCATCAATGGATATATGCCTATATCATAAAGTCAGGTATCGATCTCCCATGGTACCCAAAATCTAAGAAAGTCACCACATAGCAAAGTTTGTCACCTAAAATCTATGGAAGTCTTCACCTAGCAAGGTTTGTCAACCAATCTCATGGGAGTCATCATTTTAAATATCAAATAAGTGTTCAATCTAGCCAAAAGTATATGAATTCTTAAGTGGTGTTTGGTTGCAACTTTGTTTCACATTAAATAGGATTTATCAAATTTGATAAATCCAGATTTATCAGGTAGACGCTGCAACAGAAGAGCTCGCGAGAGTGCGGAATATATCTAGCTTGCAATCAAATTTACTAAATCTGGAATACTTCATAAAAATGATGGAACAGTGGAAGAGAATGACGGAACACAAGAAAATTGGATTTAATGCAGCAAACACCCATTGTAAAGAAAGACATATTCAACTTCGAACACCTAACATGAAGTGCAACGCTAAGACTCAACACTCCTCTAAGATCCACTGAAAATCTAACAACTGAGGATTGAGGAGCAACCCAACAAGTAAAAATAAAATACACATCCATACATGCATTTATCTAAAATTTCATGATCAAATAATTTAGTGTCAGATTATGAGTCAATTTATTTATTATTAAAAAAGAAAATAATATTAAATAAACTAATAACATTAACATATAAAAATTAAATAACAAAAAATTATTTAACATAGAATGTAAAATAATTTATTTTTAATAATTTAAAATTTAAATTTTGAATTTAAAAAATTTTGACTATATTTATATTAATTATTTTTTAAATGAATCGGGAACAAGGGCTAACTTGTTTCGCACTCAGCTCAAGGAGAAAATATTCTGTGGGGTTTGGATGCATTTTTGTGTCCAAACATCAATAAGGCATCACCACCAATCAATGCTCGAACCCACCACCCTCTTTATTAAAAAAAATGGGCCAAAAAGAGCCATTTTGAAAGAAAATGAACCTGACCTGAATGATGCCTTAAATATTACAAAAAAAAAAAAAAAAAAAAAAACCGCAACCTACTCAATCCCGTGTAACCGCGTCATGTCACTCCGCATTGTTTAAAGTTTTCATTTTGCTCAAGTCGGCGTCGTGTCTCATTAGATCTCATATTCTGCTTGTGAGGTTCGACGGTGTGTCACCAGCGCAGGGGAAGAGTTTCATCGAGGAAAATTTGACGGTGTGACGCCGACACAGGGGAAGAGATTCAGCGAGGAGAGAACCAGAGTCCCCGCACCGTAGAAGGTAATGGTACCTCTCGATTTCGAGTAACTCTTCCATCTGCGTCGTTGAGCACCTATTAAATTTATTTAGGGTTATTTTAAGGATTTAGGGTGATACGATAAAAGCAAATGAAAGTAAAAGAGGGTAAAATCAATGGCAGAGGAGTTTCGAGGTAAAAATGTCATTTTCAAACAGTGTATAATTGTTTAGATGTATAAATCAACATTTATTGCGAAAAATATTTCTCAAGCACAATTTTTTTGGCATCAATTATTCACTGTATAGTTTCACATACTGGAAAAAAAATGTGCTTAATTTGACAAGAAAATTTTGTTCAATGTATGAAGAAAGATAGTATATAACCCGAATAGCACTTCAATGCCACTCTAACACAACTCAACAGCATAACTAATCCATTTGAATACTCCTTGAATATTGACCCAATACCACCTCAAAACCACTTTTATATCATCCCATAGATGTCACACCAATACCAGACCTAATATCACTACCAATCCACTTCAATACTATATGAATATTGCTCCAATATCACCTCATTAACATTTCAAAACCACCCCAATACAACTTCAATATCATCTCAATATCACCCCAATGTCACTCCAATACCACAAACATTGATCCACCTTCAAAACCTCAACAAGACCAAACCAATACAACCCCAATACCGCAAACATTAATTTACCCCCAAAACCTCAACATGACCTACCAATAAGACCTTAATACCACCCAAGTATCACAAACATTGATCCACCTCTAGAATCTCAAAAAAACAAAACCAATGTCAGCCCAATACCACCTCAATACCACTCCAATACCGCAAACATTGATCCACCTCCAATATCTCAACAAGATCAAACCAATATCACCCAAATATCATTTCAATAATACAAATATTGATTCACCCTCAAAACATCAAAAAGGCCAAACCAATACCACCCTAACACTACTAATATTATACCACCAATAAATTTATACATCATTTGTGTGCATTGGCTTATATATATTGATTTTTCATGTGATATTAAAAATTTGAATGTTACGTGTCTTATTTATATTTACTTTACACTACTCTCTTTTAGCAAAATTATTTCGAACTTATTTTGTTTCCTTAAATTTTTTTCAATGATTTAAGTGCAAGGATGCTTACATATAAGTGCATGCATTCCGTTGTAAGAGTAATATGTGACCACATACGTAAAAGCTTGACTGATGAAACTGTAATCATTTTGTGGGATCTTAATTTATTTCAATTCTTTGAGATGCCTCCTTACCAACAAAAAAGTACGCTGGCCATGTAAATTCTAAAATATTGAAATGTTGATGAGAATGACTTCAAGATTGGTGGAAAATTCTTGGTTGCCCTGATAACAGGAATGTCCAATAGAGAAGAAATCATAATTTGGGAGAAGTGCGTACCATCAAACAACACTTCATTACAAATAAAGAACGATCTCATGAATATTGTTACAGGAGAGTATTTCAGTCTTGTTGTTGAGTTGATTATTAAGTTTTTTTTCTATTGAACTTAATTTTTTCCTCATGCAACTATAACGTGTTGAGCGAACTGTACAAGTTTGTTGAACATGTGCATAATTTTTCTTATTCTAATTGATCAAATGTATATGTGATTATCTTGTTGAGTAAATTAACATTATTGCTTGAAAAACAAGGCGGTAAAAAACGCTTGGCTACATGAACCGATTTGTTGTATTGCTGGCAGTGAGCATTTTATATGCATAAAGACACTTAACTTCTTTTTTCATTCACTAATATTTTTTTCTCTCATTTCAGATATAGTTTTATTAGCACACACATGTAATCGTACTAATATACATGACGTTTGACAACAAATGTTGAGATAACCGAAAAGTGAGAATTTGTGCAATCAACCATGTGATTCTTTATTGTCTAAGATGTGTTTTAAACAAGCATGTTTAATTACTAATTATTTATAATTACTACAGGACATTATATTTTGCACATGCAAATATGTAATATGAGAATCGACTTTTTCTTTATTCTTTTTGCAGGTTTTTTATTCCTCTAAAGACTTAACTGTGAAGGAGCTACAACAACTTGTTTCATTAACATGTGACATCACTTGCAACCCCTCTGAGAAACCTCATTCTCAAATTCACCTTCGAGTCCCACTCATGACAACACTATCAACCCCCCTCCCCCAGGCCGAGAAACCTCGTTGCCAAACTCACTGCAATTATCGATTTCAGTATCTGAGCACATTTCATCCCCACCAAAATCTAAAGCCCAAATAAACATCCAAGAAATTTTGTCTTCAATAAGGAGACATGAAAATTAATTTTCTGAGTTCGAAGCTTCAGTGAATATTAAATCGATTGATCTTCACAGCAGAGCATTAGCTCTTGAGGGAAAATAAAAAGTAAAGTCAGTTTACAAATCCTCTTTAAGAAACCTTATACAACGGGTTAAAACAAGACAAGCCAGAAAAAAACAGGTAGTCTCCCCATTCACTCTATATGAATTCAAGATAAAGGGTTTTGTACGAACTGATATTAAATCACGTGAATAAGAGAACAGTCTTACTATAGTGTTATGAAAGAGGAGTCTGAAGAAATTGAAACAAATTTAGTTGAAACCTTTAAAGAAGAATTTGAAGCATCAGTATTTAAAAAAAATGAAATGATTGACTTGCAGTACTACAAATTAAAAGTATTTATAATATAGTTTATTTAGTGTCCATTATCAATAATATTATATTGTGTTCAATTATAGCTTTTTATTTTAATTTATAGGCTAAAGTTGCGGCAGTTATCATTGATTTTACGAGCATGTGACATTCCTACACATATGTTAAAGTTGATTGACCAATGTTGTGCACGATTCAGGGAAATGTCAGTTTTATTAACTTTTTTTATAAGTTTTAAAAATAAATTAAATTTACTTCGCAAATCTTATATGTGTTGACCATGTAGAGATGATATTATAGCCGATGTCGGCCATATTGTTAATATACGGTCCGACATTGATGAAGTTCTTACAAATAAGTACTTTTGATTTATAGTAGTCCAAGTCAATCCTTTCATTTTTTAAACAAACTCATGCTTGAAATGTCTTTTTATAGGTTTCAACTAAGTCTGTTTCAATTTCTTCAGACTTCGTCTCCTCCTTCATAGCAACAATAGCAAGATTGTTCTCCTCTTCACGTGATTTAATATTGATTCGCACAACAACCCTCATTTTGAATTTATATAGAGTGAATGGGGAGGCTACCTGTTTTTTTCTTTATGACTTTCATTGTTTTATCCCGTTGTACAAAGCTTCTTATAGAGGATTTCTAAACTGATTTTACTTTTTGTTTTCCCTTAAGAGCTAATATTTTACTGTGAGGATCGTCCAATTTACTATTCACTGAAGCTTCAAACGCAAAAAACTTATTTTCATGCCTCATAAAAGATAAAATTTCTTCGTTGTTTACTTGATCATTAGATTTTGGTGAGGATGAAATATGGGCAGATACTAGAATTGAAGGTTGCGGTGATTTTCACAATAGAGTTTCTCGGGCGAGGGGGGGGGGTTCTCGGAGGGGGCTGCGAGTGAAGTCATGTGTTAATGGAGCAAGCAGTTGCAACTTCGCCAAAGTTAAGTCTTTAGTGGAATCAAAAACCTGCAAAAAACAAAGAAAATATTTATTCTTACATTATATGTGCAAAATATAATATCTTGTAGTAATTAAAAATAATTAATAATTAAACATAAATATTCATGACACATATTAAAGAATAAATAATCATATGATTAATTGCACCACTTCCCATTTTCGGTCATCTCAGCATTTGTGGTCGAGCGTTAGGTACGTTGGGTGTAATTACATGTCTGTGATCATAAAACCATATCTGTAATGAGAAGAAAAACCATTAGTTTAAATGAAAAAAGAAACTAAGTGTCTTGAAGCATATACAATGTTCACTGACAACAATGCAACAAATTCGTCATGTAACCAAGTATTTGTTGTCGCCTTATTTTCCAAGCAATAATGTCAATTTGCTCAGCAAGATAGTTACGTATAACACTTGATCAGATGAAATAAGAAAAACTATGCACATCTTCGACAAATATGTATAATCCGCTTAGTACGTTATAGTTGCTCGTGGGAAAAAATAAGTTCAACAAAAAAAATATAATAATCAACTCAGAAATATGACTGAAATACTCCCCCGTAATAATGCTCATTAGGTCGTTCATTATTTGTAATGAAATCATGCTTAACAACATGGACTTGTCACAAATTACAGGTCCCCTCAATTGAGCACTTATATTATCAGGACAACCTTATGAGCAGTGAAGCTCAAGGATTTTCTATCAATCTTGAAGATATTCTCATTAACATCCTAAAATTTTAAAATTGTCAGAGTTTGTGTATTTTCTTGTTAGTAATGAGGCATCTCAAAAAATTGGAATAAATTAAGATCCCGCAAAACGATTACAACTTTATCCTTCGAGTTTCCACGTATGTTGTCACATGTTGCTCTGACAGCGAAAGACCTGCACCTACATGTAAGCATCCTAGCACTTAAATCCCTGCAAAATAATTCAAAGAAGCCAAAATAAGCATGAAATCGTTATGTTAAAACAAAACAATGTAAAGTAAATATAAATAACGCACGTAGCATTCAAATCTTTAATATCACATGAAAAATCAGTACATATAAATCACTGCACACAAATATCGTATAGATTTCCTAGTGGTGCAATGTTGGTAGTATTGAGGTGGTATTGGTTTGGTTTTTGTGAGGTTTTATGAGTGAATCAATATTTGTGGTATTGAAGTAGTATTGGTTTGGTCTTGTTAAGTTGTTGAAGGTAGATCAATGTTTACGGTATTGAAATGGTATTAGGGTGGTATTTGAATGGTATTAATTTGGTATTGTTGAGGTTTTGGAGGTGGATCAATGCTTGTGGTATTGGAGTGATATTTGAGTGATATTGGGGTAGTATTTGGGTGATACTGAAATAATATTGGAGTGGTGTTGAAGTGCTATTGAGATAGTATTGGAGTAATATTCATATAGTATTGAATTAGATTAATAATGATGTCAGGTGTGATATTGGTGTGACATTTAAGGTGATATTGGAGTGGCTTTGAGGTGTCATTGGGATAATATTCAAGTAGTATTTTAATGGATTAATAATGATGTTGAATTGTTGTGTTGAGGTGGTATTGAAATGATGTTTGGATATTCTCTTGTCTTTTCTCAAACATTGAACAAAATCTTCTTGTCAAATAAAACACATTTTTTTTCAATAATAAATCTATGAATATATATCACAAACTTAATGTATGAAACAACAAAATGAAAAATTGATGCCAAAAAATGTGTTTGAGAAATATTTTCTGTAATAATGGATAATTCATACATCTAAACAATTATACACTGATTGAGAATGACATTTACCTCGAAACTCCTACGCCTTTGCTTTTGCACTCTTCACTTATATTTGCTCCTACGGTATCACCCAAAATCTCTAAAATAACCCTAAATAATTTTAATAGGTGCTTGGCGACGCAGAGAGAAGAATTACCCAAAATCGAGAGGCATCATTACCTTCTACGGCGCGACGGCTCTGATTATCTACAGGTTGAATATCTTCCCCTGAGCCGGAAAAGACACCGTTGAACCTCGTGAGGAGAATGGGAGACCTAATGAGGCACGACACAAGCTCGAGCAGAACAAAAACCCTAACAATGTAGAGTGGCACGACGCAGCCATGCAGGATTGAATAGGCAGCCGGTTTTTTTCCACCTAAAAAAAAATTAAAGTGGAACCGCGAAGGTTATTGGAGTAGAACGACGTATGTTATTTGAGAGGGTTATTGGGGGTTATTGAGGAGTTATTGGGTCATTAACTCCAATAACGTCCCAATAACTCCTCAATTACTCCTAAATAACCTTCGTGGTTCCACTCCAATAACCTCTCAATAACATTCGTGGTTCCACTCCAATAACCTCTCAATAACTTCCGCGGTTCTATTTCAATAACCTCATGCATTAACGTCACAATAACCTCCGCGATTTCACGTCAATAACCCCACAATAACCTCCACGTAGCGGCATATTGCTAGAAATCCGCATGCAGAACTACATCAGGACTCCGTACGGAAAATTTTCTCCTCTTTCAGGTAGGGTTTGCTTTCATTCAAAATGACGCTTTTTGACCATTTCTTTTTTTAATAAAAGGGGTCGGCCTGAGCATTGACGGTGACGATGTCATATTGGCGTCCTGACACAAAACTACGTCCGGACACCACAAAGAATATTTTCTGCAGCTCAAGAGCCGAGCCAACACAAGCCGGCACAAGAGTAAGCTAGGTGCAATGGGAAGAAGAAGATGGCTTCCGCAAACGCGAGGTAGAAGGCGGTGTGGAAAACCCTACTCTCAGTACAGCAGGCTAGTCGGAGGGGTCAGTTTCAGCTTTCGGGAGCATGTAATTTTGCTGATTCTTAATTAGGGACTGTTTGGTAGCAGGATTTAAGCAAAATATAACCTAAATCCTTTCAAACAATAAAAAAAAATTACATCTTTAAAAATCCTACAGGTTCTTAAATCCCGTTTTGCTTTAAATCCAGGATTTAATAAATCCAATTCGAAGAGGGATTTACGGGATTTAGAGAAGCTGAAGCGAGCGAAGGCGAGCGGGAGGCAGAGCGAGGAAGAGAAGAGTTACCTTCCTCGAGGGTTTCGGGTAGGAGCCGAGCGGAAGAAGGAGAGAGATCTTTTCACGCCGCAAGCCCGTCGTTTTTTTCTGGGCTGTTACAGTAAGTTTATATGGAAATATGTGTTTTGCCCATATAACCTATATATAATCTGTAATCCCTGAATAAGTCAGCATTATAAAATTATATATTAGCCCCTCATCATTAATTTATAAAAAAATTTTTTTTGGTAATTTCAGAACTATTTGCATATAATAAGACCCGGGTCGATTTGATAGATGAGGGTTGTCGACCGTCTGACAAGTCCTAACTCGATTGATATCTAGTCTAAAAGAGTGATCTCCTTCGATCGTTCTGAAAGTTAATTATTAGTCAGGGGGAGTTCCTCCTGACGTCGTTTGTCGATCTTACGAACAAGATGCTTCTCTAGCCAATATTCATTAAAAAACGATCGTCGTTCACCTACTTTGAGATTTATGTTGACATATTTTTATATGTACAAATTAATATATTATTCTATTAACTAAAATTAGATAATTTTTTATATGATTGTTTACTAAAATTTTAATAAATATTTATATTAAAATCTAATTATTTTCATAACTAAATAATTGTTAATTAAAGAATGATGATTTATTAATTAATATATTTTGTCTTATAAAAGTATTTTAATGACTAATTAGTTCAATAAACTCTTATTTATTAATTAGTATAATTATAATACAAACATTAAATAAAATATAATTATACTTAATAATTAAATCATTAAAATGCAATATTAAACTCATAATTCAACTAAATATTTAAATATTAAAATAAGTTATCAAATAACTTTATGGGATTTAACTAAATGTACCATCTGTCCTGCAAAAAAAAAAAAAAAGATTTACTAATTTCTGATTTTTAAAATTTAATAAATACTAGAGTTAAATTTTAGTTAATTTAACTACTTTCACAAGGATAATAAAATCTAACACATTCAAGCACCCATCGATGTAGTATTTTTTTCTAGGTTGCATTGTTTTTGCATTTAAACAACATACTATGTTTTTAGGGATGTGGGACTAAAACATTTACATTTAAAGTCATATTAATTTTTTTCATGTATTGACCTAAAGTCAAAATAAATTTTAATAGTTTTGAAATTTATTTTGGCTAAAATTTAATTGAGACATTCAAACCAAAAGAAGAAATTATCATGACTTTATTTTAATAAGTGTACATTATAATAGTTTAGCAATTTTTTTATATAATATACTCTATTTAATAAGAAAAAATAGAGAATTTGTTATTTTAAAAAATAATTATTATACATTAAAAGTTAATTTATGACACTAAATTTTTTTTTTGACAATACCTTAATATTATAAACTAATTTATAAAAATTCATATTTTATTTAAAATAATAATAATAATAATATAATTTTAATATAATCCGATATGGACTTAAATATGAAAATTTAAACCTTAGTTATATAAATGCATAATGATTAGGTTACATGCTTCAATGCATGTACCTAACCCAAAATTTTTCTGCCTCCGCATGCATATAATCATGATTCACAGTAAGGCTAAAATTCTCTGAATTAGTTGTCTTGATTCTAATTTAAGAGAGTTTTAATTGTGATTCAATCAAATTATTCTAACGTTAAAATTAATCAAATCGTAAGATGGCATGCATGTAAATACCAACCAAACTTACATATCTCACCAAAAATAGCACCATTATAACTATTGAAAAGTAAACCACACTTTGTCATGCTTATGTAAGATGGCAAGCATGTACAAATTAAAGTTTAGATATTAGATATGTAAATACATAGGAATTGGGTAGTATGCATGTAAAAATAAATAAAAACTTGAAACGGACCGCAGCAAAAGCTATCGCCCCTTCCTCTTCCCCTTTCCCTTCCTCTTCTTCCCCTTTCCTTTCTTCCGCTTTCCAATCTTCTTAACGAAGCCTTCGTCCCCTTTCACAGACTTGGGCTCCACCAGATGCTTCACATTCAATACACCCTTGCTAAAGTAGCCTTCAGTTGCCTTCAAAACCTTCTCTTCCGGCAGGCGTTTCTCCACTCTACTGTTACTCCTGCGCTTAGTGAATACTCCAAGAAGTTTTTCCTGGAAACATGAAAAGGCAGAATCTCCAGTGAGGCTGCAAAGAAAGAATGAGAAGGGAAAATAGTTATATTATGAGGTTAATATCACCTCCTCCATCTTCTTCTCCTCCCTCCTCCTGGTGTTTTTCATCATTGGTTTTGCAACACTGAGAGGCATCCTGTGGCTTTTGGTTGGCTTCCCACCCAAAGCAACCACATTCTTGTTTTCCAGCTTCTTCTTTTCTTTCCAGGTCATGGCTGAGGAGCCCAAGTGCTCAATATCTTTAAACATTTTTCTTATATCCAAACTCTCATCTTCAAGTTCTGAGTTTCTTGGTAATTCGGATTAAGGAGGAAGATTAAAGCAAATTAGACAAAAGAGGGGCTTGAAGTTTGCATGATGATAAAAGGCGGCTTTGAAGGACTCCCACCTTCCCACCCAAAGCAACCACATTCTTGTTTTCCAGCTTCTTCTTTTCTTTCCAGGTCATGGCTGAGGAGCCTAAATATTGAGTTGTAGACATTCACTCATAAATTAAGATGAAAAAATATGGCAAAAGATAAAAAAGGGGGCAAAAAGACTGCAAAAAAATAATTTAAAAAATTAAGCTCGTTTAAGAATTTGAGGCGAAAAATAAATTACTCTCAATATGTAATGTCCTTGATAAACGACAAGGCCTAAAAAACTTCAAAGATTATTGGTTCTTAGTCTCGCTGCATTCCATTCCATTTTCATTATTTCCACATTTATCGATTCCACCAACTATTTGAATCCAGAAGCCTTCATAAAAGTTATCTCGCATCAAGTGTGCATGAGAGCAAAACTTCCTATATAAATGGTATTTGATTTTAATAAACTCTAATCATAAGTAGATTATCTGACAAGGAACGACAATACAAATAGGAGTACTCGGCAGACTGAACTGGGAACCGGTTGCCTAGCTTGTCCAAATTAATTAAATTTATAAGATGTTTATCAAACTAACTAAAGATTAATACTGCTGAATACAATCCGGTTCAGGTGGCTGAACCGAGCCATATCTCTACTTATACTGGCAGATAATTAAAATAAGATAAAACAGTATTAAGGATGCTATAACGTTTAAATAAAATAGTAGTAAAAAGTTATTCTTAAAATGTTTATAGGGAGCTGTAATATTTTTAATAGTAAATAAGACATTATTTGTCAAACTGGTTTGTTAGGCTGGTTCGACTTGTAAAAGATTTCAAAAAATATTGACCAACATTCCCAAGAGATGTCTCTCAGCCACCAATGCCAAAGAGGGAAATGTTTCACCACAATACTTCCAAATTCGATTTAAATCAACATAAAAAATCTTTTTTATATTGCAACATTTAAAAATATTTCATGTATAATTTTAAATTTAAAAATCAAATTTCCCCTAAAGAATGGAGTTTGTTCTGTGTTTCAAGAATAAATTGGGTGCTTGGAAAGTGCGAGCCGACACTTTATTTCAAGGAGAGCGGTATGAGCTGGCTATTTTGATTATAAGTTAGACTTGTTGACTCCTCTTTAGCCACCACCCTTAACTTAAAACCAATAATAGAAGCATATTAATCCCCACATCCTTATGCATGTCCTAACATATACAATAATAAAAGCATACAACAAGTACTCTACAAACAACACATTGCCTAATATCTTGTCTTATTACAACACATACACACACAAACACTATAAAAGAAATATTTATGATAATCGTTTGTTTGCCATAGACCTAATAATAAACTTATGATGCACTACATTACTCTTGTTCATCAAGATATTGCCCTCTTGGACTAACTAAGTCACATAATTTTGTCTGTGTTGCGCAGCTTCCTAAGAGAACCAATCGCAGAAGTGCTCCAACATGATTATAATTAACTTTGAAGTACCACATGAAACTCAGACAAAAGAAGACTTAACGTTTAAAAGTTCTACTTAATTGGACTTAAGGTTCTCTATAGAAAACTTCAAGCAAGCCCTAGTACAACAATGACAAGCAAAAATTAGTGGATATTATCCGAGCAACAAGAGACGGTAAATAAAAAGGTTAATACCATGCATGACAAATTTCTATGCCGTGAAAGCCATCTCTTGAACCTCCATGAGACAATGATGTCTGAAAGAAGCCACCTCTTGATTCTGATTTATTGGGTGAAAGATTTTGTGTTGAGTGTAAAATCACTAATAAGAACAATAGATTAAATAAGGGGAGATTATAAAACCCCTTAAATATAATGAACAAAGCTCTTAAATATTGAGGTGTCTTTGGTATAACAGTTGGAGATTCATCCATAATTTTAATGTTAAGCATGCTTATATAGGAACACTCTTAGGATGGGTGATCTCCTGAGAAATTTCACAGAGAGTAAGACTCTATGAAATTTGTTAACTAAAATCTAGATGAATGGGAGGGAATTTCAGCCATTATAGCTTGCACAAACATGACGGGAGTTCAATAACACTTAATTAGAGCAACCTAAAATACCCAATCAAGCAATCTAAATTATTAATTTTGATCTGTTTAGTCCAACGTGTGGCATGTATTATCAAGATAAACGGTGTCGATAGTGATCAACTGATATAACAAATCAACTAGGTGCAATATAATGGCCAATAAAATTGTCAAAAGCTCAGAAGATACAAAAATATGAAAATTCTTTTAGAAAAAAGAGAGAAGCTTACCCAAGCGCTCAATATCTTTAAACATTTTTCTAATATCCATACTCTCATCTTCAAGTTCTGAGTTTCTTGGTAATTCTGCAGGCATAGTTTTATCATACATATCTGCCACCTTCGATGACTGAAAAAGAGACAAAACGAGTAAGAAGCACACCTTTATTTGAACAATGCAAAAGAGAGACAAGAATGGTCCATTAAGTGCAATAGTCGGCAAACTTAAAAATCATGACTTCAGTAAAATACAAAGATTCTCTTAACTATTGACTTCAAAGACAACAAAAATGACAAAATCAGCAATAACAAAAATACAGTAAATGAAAAAATTCCTATCACCAAGCTCCAAAAATTTAAATAGCACTTTGTTATGCAACTACTAAATGTATAAAACTATCTTTCTTACTGAGTGAAAAATATATCATCTATTTTAATGTGGAATTGGCCACTGTTTTTAGGGTGTAAATTGAAACTAATTTTTCATAATAGGGGGTTTCTTTCACGTAGAGTTCACGCTCATTGTAAAACAAGTACTTTAGACACAAACCACCAATTTTACATTTAGCTTTATCCATCTTCACATGGTCCTCTAATAGTTCATTTGTTTCAGCTTTCCAAACCAGATTATGAAACAAACCGGCTTAATTAGCAGTTTGATTCGTGCAGTTTGATACCGTGGTTCAAACCGCGTTTTGAATTCTAGTTATATCGCAGACCGCGGCTTTGTAGCTGCGTTCCACGTTCCCATCCTAAAAAATTCCACTGTTTCTCTCGCTAACCTCGCGTGCCCTAGCCTTTTCGCGTGAAGCTCTTCATCATCCCCAGCTCTCACCAAGAGCCTTCTTCCATTCGCGTTGCCCTTTCCGCCTCCTTAAGCTTATTTAATAATCTGCTGATAAGCTGATTAATAATAATTTGTTGATATGCTAGGTGTGGAAGCTATTAAAAATTTTTATTTTTTTGGAAAAACCAGACTTCAGCTAGAAAGCTGCCACCGCACCTAGACAGGTGCGGTGTGAAAACGTTGTTTTCAGCATTTTGAAAACGCATTAGCTGCCAAAATGTGGTTTACCCAAACAGATCAGGTGTGTTTTCAAAATGTCACCGCACCAAATAAGCTGCCCCAAACGAACCTTTAGACGACATCTGCTCCCATGGTTTGATTGTATTTTGTCGTTATTGCTCCAACCTTTCTTTGAACGAAAGATTATTCTTCAAAGGAAAGTTTGATAAGGCTGGAATTTGTTTAGGTGCTACTTTTCCTTATTATGGCTTTGATTTGGTTGTGTTCCCATTGATATTTTTTGGGGATTTCTTCATCCTCTCTAGTATGATGCCGAAGCTAGGAGATTCATGGATGTTGGTTTTTGAAAGCTTTGAAATTACTCTATTGTGGGGTAAAAATGCAGCGGAAGTTCGTTTTCTTGATTTTGTAGTGTTATTCTAAAGTTCTATATCGATTTTTGGAAGGAAACGTAGAACTTGAAAGAAGCTAGCGTTCATATTTAGGGTCTGTTTGGGGCAGCTTATAAGTGC